TATATATATATATATACACATACATACACACATACATACATACATACATACATACTTATACACATACACACATACATACATAAATATATCCTTTTTCTTCTGCTTATCCGGGGTCGGGTCGCGGGGGTAGCTGCTTAAGTAGGGAGGCCCAGACTTCCCTCTCCCCAGTTACTTGGGCCAGTTCATCCGGGGAAATCCCAAAGCGTCCCCAGGCCAGCTGAGAAACTTATGCCCCTTTTCCACTGTCACGGCGCGGGCCGGATATTTCCGGCTTGACGCGCGTTTGAGGTCTTTTCCATGGTTCCTAGGACCGGCTCGGCTCCCTAAATTCTGGCCCAGTTTCTCAAGGGGTCCAAGCGAGCCGAGCCGTGACGTCAGAAACACTGTCGGTCACTGATTGGTCGGAGGGAGGAGTCTGCGGAGTCTTTCCAAACAACCCAATCTGCCATTTTTTTCTCTACCGCTTGCTATTAGCGATAACTCGAGGAGCGTACCTTTTATAGTATTTTGAAGATATACAAAAACAATAATATCAAAGCCGTGGTCAAATGCAGAAGTGCAGGTGTTGTTGTGCTTGGTGGCCGAAGAAAAAATTCAAAGCGAGCTAGAAAGAGCGATTGGAGGGTGGTTTGGACACGGCTACTGCTCTACTTGAATCATTTATAGAAGATGGTGAGTGTTTTCTAACTTTAAACATATTTTAAGTTACTCATCCCATCGGTTCTGAACATATTTTTAACTAACAAAAGAGGCTGACGCCATAGGACAACATCGGTCCTACGATGCTAAGCTAATTTGCATAAACGCTAACTGTCCTCCGGTCCCGTTTCTCACTGTATTTTATCCAGAACGTATTTCAGCACGTGACAGTTCGTCTCTAAACTCCACATAAACCCTCCAAGCCTCCCGGCTTCTGCTCCTGCTCCATCAGTGGAGTCTACACCTGACAGAGCTCCATCGCAGCCCAGCTGCACCTCACAGAGCAGCACAACGCTGCAGCCTTCTGTTATTGGTAAGAACAGATGCAACATGTTCCACATCACTTTATTCGTGCTGATAAGGACTTGATTTTATTTTATTTTTAAAGTAAAAAAATAAAATGTTGAATAAACACTGAATTGGGATGAAATTATGTACACAGGGTCCCAGTTACAGACAACAAAATGTAAAAGAAAAACAGTAATAAGATCTAAGATATGAATTAAGAAAAATATCAACTAAAAACATCTACTAATAATGCACTAAGCACTAATAGCAGTAAACAATCAAAACAATACGTCAAACAGCAACATGAACTTGTAAATGGGACCCTGTGTACATAATTTTGATCCACCACATGTACCACATGACAATAAAGAATATCTGTATCTGTATAATACTTTCTGATTCATATATCCATTGTTATTATATTATTTTCATTATTTTTAAATCAATTTATTTTTTATTTTCTTATTTTATCAGTTTATTATTATTAATATATCTATTATAGCTGTTAGCTGCACCTTTCTTTGTTTTATGCATTTATTCAAAAACAGTATGTAGCTTGAATTAACCACCTTTTTCTTCTTTCTAGTCAAGAGAAAGAAAAAAAGAGTCCAGTAAAGAAAAGTCTTATTTCATCACTGAATGAACATGAAGAACTGATCCGGACACAGCAGGAACAACACTTGTGTCTTCTTCTGGATGAAGCCCGTGAGACAAGGGACAGACAGATACACAATCATTAGTTGGATGCAGTATTTTTTATTTTTCTACATTTTTCACTTCTTACTTTTCCTATTAAACAATTTTTTTTCTTAAGTGGTGTCCTTGAACATTAAATTTCCTAAACAAATTTTACAATGTTAAGTTCATATAGTGTTTGTTTAAATTCATACTGGAAGTTGAGAAAAATTTCCAACTGCATTTGATCTTTAATGAATCGTAAGAAAACGATTACCAGAATCTGCTCAACTGTTATTATGTTATAAATTTTTTGGTTCTAGGATGAAGTGAGACAAAAACAGTCAAAAATTCAGAAAGGACAGTTATCAGTTATCAGTGATCAGTTATCGTTATCATTTAGCAGTTATGGTTTATCGTCCATACAACTGTGGCCTGAGAGATTCGGCTGAAAGTCCTGGTGCACCTTTTATTTGAACCTGCAGAGATTTGAACAGCTGATCTGAAGCAAACGGGCAGGAGTTCACCTGAACTGAGCACTCCTGCTGTGTTTGAAGGTCTCCTCCTTCACCATCCGTCTGTCCGTCCGTCCATCCGTCCGTCCGTCCGTCCGTCCATCCATCCATCCATCCATCCATCCATCCATCCATCCATCCATCCATCCATCCATCCATCCATCCATCCATCCATCCATTATCTTCTGCTTCTGGGTTGTGGGAGCAGCAGCTTTACCAGGGAGGCACAGACATCAACAGTCACCTCTTCAACTCTTCTAGGAGGACTCCATGGTGTTTGCAGACCAACTGACTATTTAATAAGTAATATCCTGATGCATGCTCAATAATCCAGGTAGAAAAATATAAAAAGTCTGGTCCTCTGGACATTCACAAAACAAACAATACAGTTTATAATAAACAAACAATAAATGTTTTTTGTTTGTTTGTTTTGTTTTTTGAATGTCCAGAGGACCAGACTTAACTTTTTTAGATTAATAAGTAATAGATTTATGTTTTTAAATTTAATGAAAGACAAACCTTTAAAATTTAAGGACAAAATTTAATCTAATTGTTTTCAAGTCTGTAGCTTATTGTAAAAGCAGTTTCAAAGATTACAGCACAGTGTGAAGTTTTGCAATTTTAACATCAACCTTGTGCATATCTGTAAATAATAAAAATATATTTTTAATACATCTTTATTGTAAAAATCTTTACTAAAATGGAAAACATGGATTTAAAGCAGGCAGGGAAGGCAGTAAGGTAGGATTATGAATCGGTTTTAAAAGTTACAGCTCATGAGGTACTCCATTAGAGCATGACATCTCTTCCACAACATGTGACAAAGTCTTCAGTGTGTTCTTCTTCTAATACATTTAGTGGTGGCTAGTAAATAGCTTAAGGGAGCTCTACCGCCACCAGGTGGTAAGACGAGTTGGATTCTAGTCCCCGCCTACAGAGCCGGTCCAGAAGTGTAAATGGAAACACAATGAGACACGAGCCGATCTGAACCGACCCGAACTGATCTGATCCGCACCGTAACAGTGGTAAAGGGGCATTAGTCCCTCCAGCATGTCCTGGGTCTTCCTCTGGTTCTCCTCCCAGTGGGACGTGTCGGGAACTCCTCACCAGGGAGGCATCTAGGAGGCATCCTAACCAGATGCCAGAGTCACCTCAACTGGCTCCTCTCTATATGGAGAAGTAGCAGCTCAACTCTTGAGTCCCTCCCGGATGACCGAGCTTCTCACCCTATCTCTAAGGGAGAGCCCAGACACCCTGCAGAGAAAACTCATTTCGGCCGCTTGTATCCCGAGATCTCATTCTTTCGGTCACAACCCAAAGCTCATGACCATAGATGAGGGTAGGAACATACACTGACAGGTAAATCGAGAGCTTCGCCTTTTGACTCAGCTCTCTCTTCATCATGACAGACCGGTACAGCGCCCGCTTCATTGCAGACGCCGCACCTATCCACCCATTGATCTCTCGCTCCATTTTTCCCCTCATTTGTGAACAAGACCCTGAGATACTTGAATTCTTCCACTTAGGGAAGGACCTCCTCCCCAACCCGGAGAGAGCATTCTATCCTTTTCCGGCTCAAGATCATGACCTCGGATTTGGAGGCACTGATCCTCATCCCGGCTGCGTCACCTTTGGCTGCGAACCGCTCCAGCGAAAACTGTAGATCACGACCTGATAAAGCCAATAGGACGACATCATATGGAAAAAGCAGATGCAATTCTAAGGCCACCAAAACTGATTCCCTCAACACCTTGGCTGCGTCTTGAAATTCTATCCATAGAATGTATGAACAGAATTGGTGACAACCTTGGTGGAGTCCAACTCTCACTGGGAACGAGCCCGACTTACTGCTGGCAATGCGAACCAAGCTCTGACACCGGACGTACAGGGACCTAACAGCCCGTATCAAATGGCCTGGTACCCCCATGCTCCTGGAGCGCCACAAGGTTCCCCGAGGGATACGGTTGAAGACCACCCTCCAGGACTCTGCTGAGGGTGTAGAGCTGGTCCAGTGTTCCACGACCAGGACAAAAACCACACTGCTCCTCCAATTCGAGGTTCGACTATCCGACAGACCCTCCTTTCCAGAACCCCTGAATAGACTTTAGCAGGGAGGTTGAGCGTGATCCCCCTGTAGTTGGAACACACTCTACAGTCCCCCTTTTTGAATAGGGGGACCACCACCCCGGTCTGCCAATCCAGGGGAACTGCCCCTGATGTCCATGCAATATTGTAGAGTTGTCGTCCTCCAAAGCAAGAGTTAGGGGTTCAATTCCACCAGCAGTCACATGCCGAAGTGTCCTTGGGCAAGACAATGAACCCCTCATTGCCTCTGATGTGTCTCCCATCAGTGTATGAATGTGATAAAGCACTGTTTATTCTTTGTATAAATCTAGAAGAGTGCTGTATGAATGGGTAAATGAGGGCACATATTGTGTTGTAAAGAGCTTTGAGTATCTTGATAAGCTAGAAAGGCATTTTATAACTACAGTCCATTTACCATTTACATCTGAGTGACACCCGATTCTATCAGCAAAGCTTTTCCTCTGTATTAAAGGGTTAGACTTGTCCTCACTTGTAACCAGCAGAAAAAAAAGTGTTAAAAAATGCTTGAACATTTGAGGTCAAATAAGTTTCAATGTACACAAAAATTATTATTTAATTCCACTATAAAGAATAAATAACAGTGACAGTTCACTTTGGTCACATGGAAACATTTCACAACCGTGTTTTATACATTTACTTGTCATGTATGTTTTGATTATATCAAGTATTTATTTGTTCATTCACTCATATTAAACATTAGAAGTTTAGAACTACATTTTCTTTACTAAAATTACATTTTTGCAGTCAAGTCCTTATAAATGTACCCTAACAGAGAATCCATGTAAAGACACTGAGGCATATTTTGTTTTTTTTACCATATTGCCCAGCCCTACTTTAATATATACTTATAAACTCCTGACAGTCAGCAACACAAAGTCAAATGGTTTGAGAAAAACACAAAACAAATCATGATATTATGATGAAATGAAGCTTACCGATGCAGGTTTTAGTTGGTTCACACATGCGGTAAAGACACACACACACAGAGCATTTCAGAATGAATGAACCCATTTCTGCCAACTTTTTTAGCTCAGCTTTATAAAAACCGAACTCTGACATGCCTGAAAACAAAAAGTATGATCTCCACTGCACGGTTAACAGAGCAGCTGAAAAAGAAGTGACAGCAGCCAATTGTTTTAGTAGCTAAACTCCACAAGTAAACCACATCTTTACATCTTTAGTACTCTTGAATTTTCTGCAGTTGGTCGTTAGATATGAGAAAGGCACAGTGATGTTTGATCAAGTGTGGGCTGTTGATGCATGTAAAGAAATGATTGTGTACAGAAACTAAACCCCAGAAAGCCTGAACTCAGCCTGCTAAAGAAACAAACCAAACTAATGTGAAGTGGGAAAATAAAATGATAAACTTAAAATGGAAATGCTTCTAAAATATGAAAAAATACAATTTACAGATACTTGTATACATGATACTTGTCCCAGAACAAACTGGTAATCCTAATTCATCTTGAATTTAAATAGCTAGATGCTGTGTTTCCTCTCCTAAGAGGAAGTGTGTATGTGTGTGACTGATCTACCCTGTGCAGGTTAGTGAAGGAGCGCGGCGGTCTAAGACACGTACCGTCTTTGTAGGACAGACTGCCGCTGGAGAATTTTTTGCGGTGTACGCGTGCGTAGTCCTGCAGGTTAGGCGCACTAGAAGAGCCACCGAGGACGGTGGTGCTGAAGAGCCCGGCACACTGAGAGCCTGCGAGGGGTGCGGGGGAAGGTTAGACACCGCCACATGACATGCTGTTACTAAAAAAACAGCTCACCAGCAAGAGACAGAGAAGAAGACAGAGACAAGCAGAAAAGACTCAAAAGAACATGCACCTTGAACCAGCTCCCATCTCCCTATTTTTTTTTAAAGAGGGAGAAGACTTTGTGGAAAACTAATACGGTTATAGCAAACCACAACAACAAAAAACTGGTTGATACATATTCTGCATAAAGGCACCATAAAAATCATCTTTATTTTGTAAAACTAACCACTAAGAGACAACACATCAGTGTACAATGTGCAATTTCTTTAACTAAATTCAAAGTCAAAATGCAGAAGCAGTGTGTGAAAAATGAAGTTCCTCTGATGAGCCAGCAGCCTATTTTAGCAGCAGAACCCTCAGTGAGGGTTTGCTGCAGAAATTTACTCCTCTCACATGAAAGAGGAATTATGGCCCTTTATTCTCTCCAACGTCGCTTCAGTTTATTGCAGTTCCTGCCCGGCGCTCTGAAGGTTGCTCCACAACATTTCAGTTGTCAGTCAGGTTGAACATTGCAACACCTTGATTCTTTTCTTATCAGCCGTTCTGTTGTAGATTAGCTGCTGTGTTTGGGATTGCTGTTGAGTTACATCATGATTCAGTTTGGTCCAAGCTTCAGATGTTAGATGTCCTTACATTAGACTTTAGCAGAATTTCTTCTATCCATCTTATTCCTAGACCCCATGCTGCCTTGCGTGAATTATGAGCACGACTTCTAGCACGAATCAAAACCGGCATTTGTTTATGTGCGAACAGTATGAGCTAATGTAGTTTCTCTGAGCGTGGATTTAATTTAAACATGTAGGAACACCACCTGTCAGAACTCAAACAGGACAATATAATCATTCTGTTGCCTGCTGAGGACGAGGGGTGGAGGATGACCTGAAGAAGTGGCTGCAGATTACATCTACTAGCATCTTTAGCTACATCTACTAGCATGCTTAGCTACTTCATTGACTCAGTTCTTCTGACGGTGAAGCGATAAACAACATGAAAAGCTCTGAGGCGTGTTAGTATCTACACAGTAATAAGGTTGGTGGTCCAAAAAAGTTCAATCTGGTCCTCTGGACATTCAAAAAAACAAACAAAAAAAAAATCTAGAAACGTTTCGTCTATCATCCGAGAGACTTCCTCAGTCTGAGGTGCTGTTTTCAGCTCAGTCTCTTAAATAGCACCTTCTCAGAGTGGATCAACCAGTTTTGCTGCTGACAACCAAAACCAGCTGATCACATGCTCAAGAAGGACCATCAGCCTAACAATGGGTCATTAGCACACTGATGGCTGTTTACTATTCACAGAGGGCTGAGTGATACTAGCAATCACAGCATTGTAAGAGGGGGACAGTTGAACCCGGAGGCCTCCACCCCTGTTTAATGATGGACGATTTCTTTTCACAAAGATGGCCTCCTTTACTCCTCTCTCAAACCATCGTTCCTCTCTGTCCAGGATGTCAACATCGTTCTAGATTTTTTTGCTTTGTTTTGTTTTTTTGAATGTCCAGAGGACCAGATTGAACTTTTTTGGATTTTTCTACCTGGATTATTGAGCATGCATCTGAAGGTTGGTGGTGTTTTGTTAAAAGAGGTGGGACACAATCTTATTCACCTTAAATCAGACACAGAGCCCAGACCATTAAAGTCCTCCATCACTGAGCTTGGATTAATTACAGAGAAAATCACAAAATTGAAGACAAACAAATATTATAATTTATTTTATTATTATTGACCTTTATTTAACCAGGCAAATCCCATTGAGATCACAGATCTCTTTTGCAAGGGAGGCCTGGGCCTGAAGGCAGACTAACATGCATGTTTTTATCCTATGGGAGGAAACTGGAGTACGGAGAAAACCCACACAAGCATGAGAAGAACATACAAACTCTATGAACCCAGGACCTTCTTGCTGTGAGGCAACAGTGCTAACTATTGAGCCGTCGTGCTGACAACAAATAATACTATAAAGCTGTGACCTCTATACACTTGAAATCATACCGGATATGCTCGTCACCGTTTTCAATCCTTCTGAGGATCCGGCGTCTCTTCTTCTGTAGTTTACTGTAGTCCAGACACAAAGTAGGATGCAGGTTTTCCTCCGTCGGCCGTTTGTCAACAAAGTGAAATGAGCTCACATGCAGAGTTTTGGGTGGTCTCTTCAAGTTCACATTTTTCAGCCACATTCTTCTTAATTCTTCATCTGTAGGTAGGAGATGGAAACTATACCTCTTTTCACAGGAACATTCTCTTTGTTTTGGGTCCGTGTTCAAAACTATGTTGTTGTAGCCACTGATTTAGTTTGGTCTGGTTTTTCTGCAGCCCTGAACACAACAGGTACCTAAACTCAGCACGGCTATTTTAGCAAACTTTATGGTTGGTAAATAAATGTAAACAAAACAAGAACAATGCTAAATTGAATACTTTCAAATAAACCGTGGTCCGTGCTCCGCTACCATGGTTAACCAATGATTATTGCTACTTCCTGTCTGACAGGAAGTTGTACCCATAATCATTTAGACAGTAGAGCCCCCAGGAATAAGGTGGATAGCTGCAAAACAAACCTAGATCATCAACCCACCACCCCCGTGCCGGCAGCTGTCTGTGCTGACATGTTGAGTTTGGTCTTCTCCATCTGTGCAAAATGTGTAAATATCTCTTCTCTGGTCTTATCTGTCCAAACGATGTTAGTCAGAAGTCTTGTGGTCTTGAGAAACTTTGCAAACACAAATCGTGCTGCCATGTTCTTTTAAGAGCTTCCTCTTATTTTCTCCAACTTCCCAAACAAGCCATACTGTTCAGTCATTTTATTTTTTCTAATTGTCCTGTCATGAACTGTAACCTTTGACCTGCTAACTGCGGACTGTACAGCCTGATATGGAGCTCTTGGCTCTTTTTTGTGTTAATTTCTCTAAACATTGCATGGTCTGACCCTGGGGTAGAATGATGAAGGAGTGCCTCTGTCTTCTTCCATTACTCAGAAGTGAAGCCATAATACAGGCTTTCTTAAGAAGTTAGACTATCCAATTTAATGCTTTTTAAAACCAATGAATGGCATTTTTTTTAAACATTTTGCCAGTGGCAGTGAATTTATAAATTGCACTTTTTTTTAAAATGCCAATTTAATGCCACTGACTGTGAATGAATAAAACACAATAACTTTATTTTGTTTTACAGAAGATGATTAAGTCATGTACCTTAATTTGAAAGCTGTTCTTTTCATTTTTACTGAAGTGGGCATCACAGAACCAAAGGAGGCAGAACTGTATTGGTCCATTTAGGCCAAGTTCAGCCTTTTTTAAAAACTGACACTTCTTCATCATGACCATCTGCAGCCATACAAAAAAATTCTTCAATTTTCAGTTTCTTTAGTTAGAATTTGCAGATCAAGTTAGAGAGGCCAGACTGAGATGGTTTGAACATGTCCAGAAGAGGGACAGTGGTTTGGACATGTCCAGAGGAGGGACAGTGGGTATAAGAAATGCAGATGCCAGAAAAAGACAAAGAGGAGATATATGGATGCAGTTAGAGAGGACATGGAGGTAGTTGGAGTGAGGCCAGAGGATGCAGAGGGAAGAGGGAAAAGATGACAGAAGAAGTTGTTTCTGATCCTGCCGTTTTCCTTCACACACCCAATCTTCTGACAGGTGTGCACCAAGCAGCCAGGAACAATTACTAAAATGTTTCGCCACGTTACTCTAATGTAACGCTTATGTTTCGCTCTGACGAGCACAGCGATTACCTAACTCACCAACCCTATCTTATTTTACTTGAAATCTAATTAACAATATTTAACTCCACAGAGATTCAAAATTTATGCTTGTTAAAATTCCAAATAAAGCCTTATTTTTTTGCTGAATCAATTTTTGACTTTTAATGCCCCATGGAAACCCCATAACATCAGGACCATGGAAGATGCCATGTTGTATGTTTGAAGTCTCAGAATGTGCATTCAAGAGGTGGGGCTGAAAACTTCAACTTCCATGTTCTGTTCCAATGTCTGGTTACAATCTGTGTCAATGTGGGGCTGGAACATCAACTCCTGGAAAGATTATTAGCTGACGAATGTTTCCCACTTGTGAATAATATTTCTGTTTGAAGAATGAAAAGCTTCACGTAGACTGAAAATTACCCATTCCAGATCAAAGGGCAGAAACTTCTCTAAGATCATTGCTGATGCCTTTCCTCTTGGCATTGTGTTTACACACACCTGATTGCTTCACAGCAGCAAACTAACAAAACATCTGTGCTTCTAGGGAGGAGCTAACTCTCGCCGATGATCAGTTAATACATTTGATCAACAGCTGATACTCTCTTCAATCCTATGGATGCTAGAAAGAAGGTCTTCATTTTTCACACCCCTCAGTTTTAGTTAAATAATGACACAGTGTAATTTATTAAGGCAGCACGATGGCGCAACTGGTAGAGCTGCTGCCTCTCAGCGAGCAGGTCCTTGGTTCAAACCCCAGTCCAGGGGCCTTTCTGGGTGGAGTTTGCATGTTCTCTCCATGAATGCGTGGGTTTTCTCCGGGTACTCTGGTTTCCTCCCACAGACCAAAAACATGCATGTTAGGCTGATTGGTAACTCTAAATTGTCCCTAGGTGTGAGTGAGAGAGTGAATAGTTGTTTGTCTCTATGTGTCCCTGTGATGGACTTGCGACCTGTCCAGGGTGTACCCCGCCCCTCGCACAGTGATTGCTGGACATGGGCACCGGCGACCCCCGTGACCCAAAATGGAATAAGCGGGTAAAGTAAATGGACGGATGGATGGATATAATTTATTATTTTCGTGTTCACGTCAAGTATGTAATTTTAAGACCTGGGGCCTCATGTATGAATGGTGTGTACACACAAAAAGGTTGCGTACGCTGTATTCCACGCACACGTTAGGATGTATGAAAACAAAAAGTTGCATAAAAGTGTGCATAAATAAACTCAATCTTTGAGAATGTGCATA